AACTTATTTGTTCCAAAAATTGTCCAATGACTTATTTAACATATTTTGGAATGTCCAAAGACTTATTTGTTCCAAAAAATTGTCCAATGACTTATTTAACATGTTTTGAAATGTCCAAAGATTTATTTGTTCCAAAAAAAATCTAAAAACTTAATCATTCAAAACAAAAAAGTCTATTGATTTTTATTGTACTTTTCTCTATTTAAAAATGGCCCGTAATGGAAATTTAAAAAAGGAGGAAAGGCAGGCTTGTGTTATCTAGACCATACAATTTGCAAAGGAAGAAGATTCTAGAGCCGTTCACGTGTCCCTACCTAACCCTCTCCTCCTAATCTCCGTCTCCTTTTATCTTCTCTTCTCCCCCAAAACCTCACCAATTCACTCCTCCATTCTTTTCTTTAGGGTTTGACACAAATGGCTTCTTCAACAGCTCAGATTCACGCTCTTGGAGCCACTTCCTTTGTTTCAACTAATAATTCACCCAAAACAGTCTTCTTTGGCAAAGGATTATCCAAATCCGTTTCGTTTTCGCATCAGAAATCATTTTTGAAGCTCAAGAAGAGCAGAACCAATGGCCCGCTTAGAGTTGTGGCTGAGAAGGTTGTTGGAATTGATCTGGGGACGACAAACTCTGCCGTCGGTGCGATGGAAGGTGGGAAGCCTGTTATTGTGACTAACGCTGAAGGGCAGAGGACTACGCCGTCGGTGGTGGCGTATACAAAGAGCGGAGATAGGTTGGTGGGCCAGATTGCCAAGAGGCAGGCTGTTGTCAACCCTGAGAATACGTTCTTTTCGGTGAAAAGGTTTATTGGAAGGAAGATGTCGGAGGTGGATGAGGAGTCCAAACAGGTTTCTTACACGGTGGTGCGTGATGAGAATGGAAACGTTAAGCTTGATTGCCCTGCTATCGGAAAGCAGTTTGCTGCTGAAGAAATTTCAGCACAGGTAAATGAATTACTTGGTCCTCGTATTACCAGTTCATTCTTATTGCATTTTAAGCTCGAATTGTTTGTCTAGATATAATTAAGTCGCTTATGAGAATCAGGTCAATTATGTGTGTGACATACAAGAATCACTGAATTAGCAATGTTTCTACAACGATTACTGGATGAAAACCCATAACTGTTGCGGAATGGTAAAAATATTATAGAAATAAGCTCTTTAAACATGACATTTATGGTTCATCCATAAGAGACTAGTATTATTTGCAATGTTCTAATATGTTCATAGTATGTGATGTTCTTACATTTACAAGTATAATGACTTCTATTCATATATATGCATGAAGTTTACGGCTAAATGTACAAGACATGTTATTACTTATAGATTAGGTTTAGATGGTTTTGTAGTTATACTACATTTTGATGTCTATGGTCGATCATTTGGGATCTTTCTTTGATATCAATTTTTTTCTTGTTACATCAATAACCAGGTTTTAAGAAAGCTTGTGGATGATGCTTCAAAGTTTCTGAACGATAAGGTCACAAAGGCTGTTGTGACGGTTCCTGCTTATTTTAACGACTCTCAAAGAACAGCAACCAAGGATGCTGGTCGAATTGCTGGTCTTGAAGTCCTTCGTATCATCAATGAACCTACAGCTGCCTCACTAGCTTATGGCTTCGAAAGGAAGAACAATGAAACCATATTAGTTTTTGACCTTGGAGGTGGTACTTTTGATGTTTCAGGTGAGGGAATTTTAGATACTTGAGCTTCACCTAAGTTTATGCTAAGGAATCTCAGTCTCTACATATGCTCGCTGCCAAAAATCACCTTATGTTATATCCCATTTGCAGTTCTTGAGGTTGGTGATGGAGTCTTTGAGGTGCTGTCTACTTCCGGAGATACACACCTTGGTGGTGATGATTTTGACAAGGTATTGTCTAAGGTCCAATGTTCTTGTCCATTTACCATATTATTTTATGATTTTGTGGAACCATGGATTTATGTTTCTTGTGTACTATCATGTAGAGGGTTGTTGATTGGCTTGCTGCAAGCTTCAAGAAAGATGAGGGCATTGATCTATTGAAAGACAAGCAGGCTCTGCAGCGCTTGACTGAGACAGCTGAAAAGGCTAAGATGGAACTATCAACTTTGACACAGGCAAACATTAGGTACCTGAATCAGTTGGAAAAGTCTCGAGTGTGGTACCACATCTTATACTTTGTTTTACTGATTTATTCTCTCTTTTTCCTGCGTAGTTTGCCATTCATTACAGCCACTGCTGATGGCCCCAAACACATTGATACAACCCTTACAAGGGCAAAGTTTGAGGAACTATGCTCAGACCTGCTGGATAGGTACCTACTTTGTTTCACACTAGTTCTGATTAATTAGGTGTTTCTTGTTGACTAGCATCCACTTTTCTGTGAATTTAGTTCAGTGAGCACATAAATAATGTGGGAGGCTAATTGTTTTTTATATGCTCATTTATATATTTTCCCTATTTTAAAGAGAGATGGTGTAAAAGTTGTGTTTTGGTCCTTCCTTCAGGCTTAAAAGACCAGTTGAGAATTCTCTGAGGGATGCAAAGTTGTCGTTCAAAGATATAGACGAGGTGATACTTGTTGGTGGTTCAACACGTATTCCAGCTGTTCAGGAAGTTGTTAAGAGCCTGACCGGAAAGGAACCAAACGTTACCGTTAATCCAGATGAAGTTGTTGCCTTGGGAGCTGCAGTTCAGGTAGATTTCCTGCTCTCCTTGACTGATTATTAGTTACTCTAGTTTTCTTCAATCTCTTGGAACGCATTGTGGTGTTGCTTAAAAAGTTTTGAGTTTGTTTTCATTTAGTTTGGCTATAATTATCGTCTCAGTATAACACTGGTATTTAACTGTACATGTCTAGGCTGGTGTTTTATCAGGAGATGTGAGCGACATTGTTCTTTTAGATGTAACACCATTATCCATTGGGCTAGAAACTCTTGGTGGTGTGATGACCAAGATCATCCCAAGAAATACAACTCTTCCAACTTCAAAGTCGGAGGTTTTCTCTACAGCTGCTGATGGGCAAACAAGCGTTGAAATTAACGTCCTTCAGGGTGAGAGAGAGTTTGTGAGGGACAACAAGTCTCTTGGTAGCTTCCGACTTGATGGCATCCCACCTGCCCCTCGTGGAGTTCCACAAATTGAGGTCAAATTTGATATTGACGCAAATGGTATCCTATCTGTTACTGCCATTGACAAGGGCACAGGAAAGAAGCAAGATATCACCATTACTGGTGCTAGCACATTACCTAGTGATGAGGTATGTCTTGTGACTATATTTTTCTACTGTTTTTTTGGATGTTACTTCATGCAAACAATCAAACTTGGAAATTTTGATATGATTTAAAAACTAAACCCGAATCCAATAAGGAATAGTCAGACCCTTACCATTACCTCGAGGGTTAGTGGGTAGGATGTATGCCCTCTATCCAAGGAGTAGAGAGAGACTCTTTGAAGACCCGGCTTGTAAAAATGTTTTGAGAAAAGGGTTTAGCGAACATATAAACACACTGTGTCAAATTTGGTCCATTGCCAAACTGATATGCTGTTGTATTGACAAATGGAACAGGTAGAGAGAATGGTTAGTGAAGCTGAAAAGTTTGCAAAGGAAGACAAGGAAAAACGAGATGCGATAGACACAAAGAACCAGGCCGATTCAGTGGTGTACCAGACAGAGAAGCAGCTGAAGGAGTTGGGAGACAAGGTTCCTGCACCTGTGAAGGAGAAGGTTGAGGCTAAACTCGGAGAGCTAAGGGAAGCTATAACAGGGGGCTCAACACAAACCATTAAAGATGCCATGGCTGCCCTTAATCAAGAGGTGATGCAGCTGGGGCAGTCGCTATACAACCAGCCGGGTGGTCCAGGGGCAGGCCCAACACCACCTGGTGCGGAGCCTTCAGAATCATCATCGTCATCGGAGAAGGGACCTGAAGGAGATGTGATCGATGCTGATTTTACGGACAGCAAGTGATGTGAGGGATGAGATGTTATTTTTGTGATTTGTTCCAAATTTTATGTGTGGAAAGGGAGGGGGCGCTCTGTTTTAAATTGAATGGAGTATAGGAGGATGTGGTAGGTAGAAGTTGAGAGAAGTGGTTAGACAGACCCCCCCTTGACTTAGAAGTGAAAGTGAGAATGAATTTTGTCCATCATTGTTTTACATATACTTGAATGAAATGAAATTTTGTTGGTTGGGAATATGCAATTTTTGTTGTTACAAGGTTGCAACTCATACATAAATTGGGCGGTGATTTATAATGATAATTTTGTATATCTATAAAGTATTTGACATTAAATTTTTAACCATCATCTTTTATGTATGAATTACTGTTTATTGATGCATGTTATTTAAAATTCAAGATTACAAATACATTGTACGTAAGTATATTCTATTAAAATTTCATATTTGAATTTGTATAACTAAATGCAGATAAACGTAGTCACATATCAATCGGCTAGCTCGATTTTTTTTTAGAACACAAAGTTAAAATGATTTTTTTTCTAGAACTTCTAGTTTTTTTCCAATATAGAAGGCACAGACACGCCTGGGCTATCACCTTGGAGCCAGAAGTGGCATTGGCTGCCCCTCAAACTCTAAAAATAAAATTTGATTAGTTTGAAACCTCAAATACCCACTTGAAACCGTATTTACTCGTATCAAATTCCTTTTTTTACAAATTTCAAGTTTTCTAAAAGGTTTTAAAACTCTTATTTATATGGTTACCTACACACATTTTGTATTTGTTTGTATAACCGTAAATATTGACATAGTTATGTTGTTCAGGTCACTCATGTTTTTCAACTATTTAATTAAAACACATGTATACTTAAAAGAACTTTCTCAACCTTAAAATCATGAATTATTTTACATTTTTTCTAGGCACCACCTAAATAAACTTTCTGTCTCCGTGCCAGTGGACTATTATCAAAGGTGATAACTCAAATCTTAGAGAGTCTGAGTCAACTCGTTCATAGTAAGCTCAACTACCCACTATTCTGTTTACAGTTACCTCATCTCCAAGACTTAGAGGATATTTACTAGCTGCTAATCAGATTGACTTGGTCAATCACACTGACTCATACAACAGTCAATGTGTTTACCAAATTAGAAATCTGACCGAGAGCCAGCACCAAAATGACGCTTATCCCACTCAAATTGGTTCCAATAAATAGATTCTAAATTGATAAACGGACGCTTAAACATTGATTTAAAAGAGTGTTTAAATTCTATTTACCGGAACCAATTTGAAATCAAATTCCAAAATCTAGAAACTACATAGGTTTTGGTGATCGACCCATACAACACACGAGTCGTACTCAAGATTAATGGTTCCAACCCACATGTTTCTACAAGTCTACGGAAATGCTAGGCTCGGTTGGTTGTTTAGACCATATCAATTAATTGTAACATCTTAAAATCAAAGCACAATTTTGAACGTTCTAAAACCACCTTATTTAGAACGAACCAAACGTCCTTGGCCACTACGACCCTAACCAACACCTCTCATGTTGGAGATTTTCATAAAATCGAAGCGAGTAATAGCATAAATATTACCAAGCATAACATCGAAGGTCTAAAAACGCGGCCACGATTTGGAAGTGCCGGGTAATCGTATGGTGACGGCATCACACATTCGTCACCGTTAAATATAACTCTCCTTGGAAACGCCCATCCTTCTTTAAACGTAAAAATCCCGGGATCTTTATGTAGCAACATCTCTGTTTGCACGTTCCCTCCATCTCCGGATTGAAGTAACATGTCGTTGTAATGCTCGATTCCGTAGAACACCCCCGAATCATCTGAAGAACACAAACCATCAGCCAAGAAATTCATATGTTTGTCCCTTTACTGTCCACCAAGCATTAAGATCCATGTCATCATTTTGGTGAGATCGGAGAATCAAAATAAAAATACGGGACGATTTTGGGACAACAGATTTTCAAGATAAGTCTTTTTGCATGGGAAGATTGATTCGACTTACTTATACTTCCATATTGATTGAGCGGTTTGTAGTAGAAGCTGAAAACCTGCGTCAGACTTTGTAAATTCGGATGCAAGACGACCAAATTCCATTGGCTATAATTCTTGGCAACGTTGAGATTATTGATCGTGATCTTAACTCGCCAATACTGTTTGTAACTTAACTTCACGTGCCAATGCACCCTTATCGGACACATATGTTGTGAACATTGCACCATTGGTAGCGATTGCGCGTTGCGAGGTAGTTGCAACACCGGAGGCGGTTGATCACGCCTACAATTGGATTATTATATATGAAATAACCTCTAACGATGAATAATACCCGTTGCAGTACTAGTAAGACCTGCTACATGGGTAGAAGCCCTTCTCCGTTACAAGAATTATGCATGTTCCACTTCCACCCACGACCAGATCCTGCTATATTGTTGGTGGAAACAACTTTCTGCAATAAGCATTATGGAAAATTGATTCCACCAACAAAACCTACTATACTATAAGTGGAAACAACTTCGGAAAGCTGTTTCCACCAAAATAATCTGCACCTACTAATACTGATATTGTAGGTGGATAAAACTTTCTATAGCAAGATTCATAGGAAGATGCTTCTACCCACAGAACCTACTGATAGTGTAGGTGGAAACAGCTTTTCAAAGCTGTTTCCACCAATAGAACCTACACACCTACTAATGCTATAGGTGGATAGAAATTTCCATAGCAAAATCTATGGAAAATTGTTTCCACCAATCGAACATAGTGACATGGGTCAAAGTTGTTTTTCACCGATTGAAGACGTACCTCACGCAATTCGATCCTGGATCTCCTCGACACCCGCAACTACATGTCGGACAAGGCACAATATTCTTGCTATAAAACGCAGATAAAGACACGCAACATTTTGGAGCCGATGATGCAAGAAACGGTGAATAAGTACAAGTTATATTCCATGTCCCTACGACAAAACCACAAACATCAACAAAGGTTTAATCCCAAACTGAACTTTAAAAACACGAGCCCTCAAAATCTAACTCACCAAGAGCTTGCGTTTGTCTACGCCCATTATCACTGACAAACTTCGTCGGGGGCACCTTCGTAGCGTTCCCACAAGTGTACCCCGAGAGGCCGATCTTGAAGTCATATGGCATCGTCTCTATGGTGCCAATGTTCATTTGAAATGCAGCCATGGAGTTACCGGGATCTTGAGAAAATGACGATAATACCCCTGCCTTGCAACAATTTTGGACTTGCATATTGTAGGGAGTCCCGGGCAAAAGATCAACGATCACAGGCTCTCTCTCACAACTATGGGGGAGTTGTGATTTCCCGAAGTACTCCGAACAGTTGCCTTGCTCGGTGGCCTCGGCTCCCCTCATGTCCCAAATCACTTCTTTGCCACTCCATTTCCAACTTAGCTTCCAACCCGGAGGTTCTACGTGCCGATACAGTTGATGATTGTATATCGAAACTATTACCTAAAGATTTCAAGAAAATATGAAAAGAAATCAAGAATTTTACCCCTTTTTTTCTGTCAAATTATGCACATGAAACATCATTACAAATGTGGATGATCAAAATACATGTCTACACATTACAGCAAACTAATGTTTATGCATATGACACATATGCACATGTTACATGTACATATATACACATTACAGCAATATTTAATATATGTATCTATATTCTCTGGCTTATGCTATGAGTCAGAAAAGCAGCAATTGGCCATTCCATGCAAAAGGTACAATCCATTAATGCATCAGTCCCATCACATGCACATGCAGTTGTACATATAAGCATAAACACACACTGATTTCAGTCACAGATAAACACACCTCGAGCAGGAAAATTGATCAGGGAAAAACTTACATCCTGTGTTCCATCATTCTGCTGCCGGAGATCCCATCTAATGGTGATGTTTCCATTGGGATCCAACGGATCATACCCATCTGCATTTGTAACATTTAAACAGAAATGAAGCTCAAAAAAACAGAAATCTAAGCCAAATTGCGAGGAAATTTCAATCGATTGGAACACAAATAGTCGCAGATTACAGAGAGGAATGAATCGAATGAAAAGGGGTTCTTACATGTTGGAGAGAAGAGATCGAAGATGCATGAAGAGACTGTCAGAATCAAAATCGAAGCTAAACCCATTAATCATGGATGAAAAATCTGTAAAGGGTAGCAATGAATTTGTGAAACCGATTGGAGATTGAGTGTGGGTTTAAGCATCCCCCATTTTGAGAATTGCATTGAATATGGAATATGGAAGACGGTTTGGTTATTTCATTCGCACCCTCACATACATTTTCCATTTTTCATTTCCATTTTTTCTCAAATCAATTCCTTTTTAGTGAAATCATTTTTAAGTCTTTTTTCCTTATTTATTATTATTAAAATTATGCATTTAATTTATTATCAAAACAATTATTATTTATTTATTATTTAAAATATGCATTTATATAATTTTAATTTACCAAAATGTATAATTTTAATGATTAAATTACACAAATGGTCCTTATGGTATGTTTAGAATTAAAAAAAAACGTGAAAGATACAAGAAAAATCACCAAATTATGCATTTTGTTTTGAAAATGGTTCCGAAAACTAAAATGGTTAGTTTTTAATTTTTAATGCTTCAATGGTTTGTATTCGATCTTTAAAAATCATACTACATTATAAAAAAAAGGTTAAATGCATGAAATATCAACATATTTTTATAAATATTTTTATTATAATATTCTACTTTTGTTTTTCTTTATTACAGCAATGTATTTTCAAATTATTTTTTTATTAAGACATCGTACTTTGAAAGATCTACTCATTATAGCTACGGGTAACCTGTTACCTTTTAAACCAGTTAACCTCTTGAATTTTTTTTGCTCGTGTGGCTTTAATAAGGTGATATGAATGACACATTAATTTGATAACTTAATTAAAATAAAAAAAAACCTATTTCAAATTAATATTAGTGATTTTCATTTTTCATTGCTATGATTTAATTTTTTTGACTTTTTCTTATTAAGTTGCATTCAAAATAAATATTCTAAGGTAAATATTTTATAAATAAATATGTTACATTATTTTCAAGATATATTTTGTTTATAAAAAAGGTAACACTTCTTACTTTTTGTTATTAAAAAATACATATATTTTAAAGTTCTATTTAAAATGTTAACGAAATAAATTGTGTTCTATAATTTTTTAATATTGTTATATTAATAAATAATTCAAAAAAAATATAATTAATTTAATATATTTATATGTCAAGTAAAAGTTTTTGAACAAAAATAATATATTCTTTAAAAGATAATATTTTTTTTGGTAAAAAAGGAACAATTCTTATTTTCTTTTTTTAAAAAAACACATATTTTTTTAAAATATTAGCGAGATAAGTTGTCTTCTACTAGTTTTATTAATATTGATAGATCAATGAATAATTTAGAATTTTTTTAATTCATTTAATATATTTATTAAATAATATGTAAAATAAATAAATGTTAAAATTATAAGTACATCGTTTAATAAGAAATAGTAGATGTTATAATAAAATAATTTTAAAAGTACAACGTTGTAATAGAAAAAATAACATAACTATAATACATGTGGACAACCTACATGGACAATGAGGTGACATGGAAACCTGGTATAATGGGTAAAATTAAATCAAAATGTTACCCGATACTATAATGAGTAAATTTTTTAAAGTACAATATTTTAATAAAAAATTGTTTGAAAATACATTGCTGTAATAAGAAAAACTAAAGGTACAATGTTATAATAAACAAATTTATGAAAATAGATTACTATTTTGTATATATTATTCTATAAAAATGTTCTGAAAGACAAAATAGCATAAATGCTTCTTAACTAAGTCGACGTTTGATAGATGGAGTTAGTGTTAAGGACCTATTTCGAACAAAAATGCATAGCATGGTCACCATTATTGTACTTTTTTCATTTTAAAGACCCTTTTCAAAAATTTGAACATACCATAGGGACCATTTTTGTAGTTTACCCTTTTTTCCTATTAATTTATGTAACTATACTATTACCATATGTTTTTAATTCCCTATTAATATGTTTTCAATGCAAAATTTACAATAAATATCTCATATTGTCTCCAGGCTGTATAGCATTTTGTCTACTCTATTATTTTTTATGGGGTGTTTAGCATTGTTTATTTGAAACAATTTATGTTTTTTTATAAAAACACTTATTAATTTATTATAAGTTAGAAAAGTTTAATTTTTTCAAAAACCTCTTATTATCGGTTTGGCACCGGTATAAGTTGTTTATTCAAACACTCAAAAGTGCTTATTATCGATGTCACACCGGAATAAGTCAATAAATTGTTTTTATTAGCAATCCTAAACACCCCTAAATAATTTAAGGTATTTCATTTAATCATGATCGACAATAGGTAGGTTAAGTAATGAGGTATAACTATTTTGGTAAATTTTGTAATTAATGAATCTTTTAAATATTATTATTAAATAAGTAAAATAATATAAAAATAGTTTTAACTTCTTTTAAATTATTTGATCCATTTATTACTCTGTATTTTTTCCAAAGTCACTAAAAAAACACAATGGTGGTGCCTGATTGGTTTGAACTTGACTTCAAAGTCAAAAATATCAGGAGGTCCTAGGTTCAAATCCAAGGTGGAATAAAAATCCCCTTGTGGCCACAGAAGTTCAAATGCGGTGACTCCGGACTATCTACAAAGTAGGTGGTCGTTCTGAAATTAGTCGGCTCGCATAGCGGGTTAGATATCCAGGTTAATAAAAAAAAGTCACTCAAAAAAGGGTTGAAATGAAGTTGCAAAAAAGGGGGTAGTAATATGATTACTAATACCTGAAGGGTTGTTTCTGAAAAACTGAGTAAACATAGAGGATGGTTTTATGCAATTGACCCCACAATTCCCAATTCTGTTTCTAGGGTTTCGAAACACACAAACACAGTGGCAGTTAGTGACGATGCTGATCGCGGATATACCACCTAATCAGACAATCGACGTTAAGAATCTCAGCCAGGAGGTCAAGAAAGAAGGTATTCGATTTTTGTCTTATAAATTTGTAAGCTTAGGGATTCCTAGTTTTGTGAGTTCAGTTATTATGTATAGAACACATTAGGTCTGGTTACGTTTTCTACTGTTCTGCTTGTTGGAACTCTTCTTTTTTCTACTCGAGAAATGTGGAAAATTGTACCGATGGATTTCGAATTTTATGAATTGGGGAGAAAGAGAGAAATGTTGATCTTGTTATCATTCAAGCTAGTTACAAACAAACTTTCTTATCAATTTGAGAAACGAAGTGGGTGGAAGGAAAATGTGAAGGTTCTATAAAGTCCAGGAACTTATTAATAGAAGAAGAATTCTGTTGATGAGTAGGTTCTGGTAGAGGGGAATGCTGGAGAAGTGAGAACATCAATTTTTGTGGTAGTATGTGTTGGGTGGAATGAGGAGGTACCACCTGTTGCTCTAACAATGATAGTTTTGCACTGTAGAGAGTATTATGGAAAATGGTTTGTGTTATGTTTCATATAAGAGGTTAAGAAAGGTATTGGGGTTGTTACTTTCAGTAGGATGCCAATGTAATTGAAATTTGAAAAATACTGAATGCATTGAGAGGCACAACTAGATTTTTCTGGTAAAATCCAGCAAGGAGAGCTTTAGTTAAGGTCCTACCTCATTCCTTTGTAATGCCACTGTATGTTGGCTTCGGGCTCAAGAA